CGTATCGAACGAGCCACTCCGTAGACGAAGGTCGCTTGCAGTAGGAGCGGAGCGTGCGAACGCATCCGGTCGTTCCGGTTGACGTAGGCGAGAACGAGAACTTCCTTGTTGCCAACGAGCCGCTCTCGTTCGACGGTCTTGTTGGTTTCCGTCTTCTTCTCCACCACGCGCACGTCTGATTCCACGGACTTGACCACTCCAAACGTACCTCTGTCGTTCACCGAGAACGCTCCTCGCTTCGATATGTCATCTGGGGTGTCGCGGTAAATCACCGTCCGCGGCTGCAGGACGTCCATCGCAAGCAATCGGATGAACTGAGGACGAGAAGGAGAACGAAGTTGCTAATACTGATGCAGGATGCGATCTTCTTCTTCGTCGGTCGAAGACTCGAATACGTCCGTTCGATGTGAAGTCCTACCTCGTTTTGCGAACGACACGTCCTGATCGCGAGAATCTAAGTAACTGTCCGAACGTTTCGTTGCCACGGCGTCCTTCTCGCCTCTCGGCATGATGAGGGGAACGGGCTCTTCGACGTCCATCGTCAATCGCTTCCAGTCGTCGGACGCCACAGCTCTGCCCCCGAACGCCGTGACCAGTCGTTGCCGCTCGTCTTTGTTGAATACCGGAAGTTCGATTTTGTTCGACCTGTACTTGCAAAATCTGAGCGCGGATGTTACGAAGGACGACAACGTCTTCGGATCGTCCACCATCGAGTGCACGTGTTCGACGACGATCACGTTCTTGTGTTCGCTCTCGTTTCCGAACTTGACGTCTCCGATAACAAGGTCGTCCCGGTAGAGCAGGTACACCGACTTTTTGCCGGCCCGTCTGAGAGACAGGTGCTTTGCGTCGACGTCCGATATTCTGCTGCAGGCGACGACGGCGGATGCGGCGTGGAGCTCGGAGAGTCGACGGTACTCCGGAACCGGACTCAGGCATCTTTTTAGAGCTTTTACGAACTTGTTCCCCAACACGTCCCCGAAACGATCAAGCACGGAGGGTGCCGAGTCTCGACTTCTCATCGCGTCAATGAACCTGACGTACGCGTTCCAGAACGCCAGCTCTTCGTCGGTCATCGGACCGCGAAGACGGACGAGGTGCTCGCACACCTTCAGCAGAGGTTCCTTCGTACACTCGCCGTTCTTCGGGGTCACGTTCTTCGGGGTGATGTCGTTGTGCACCACGCCCGATTTGGCGAGGAAAGTCAGAGCCTTGCACAGGTGCATCGCCAGCGTCCTGACGCACGGAATTATCCCGTGACCGTATCTCAACGTTTGCAGATCGCATCCTTCGTTCGTCATCGTTATGGATGCGACGACGTTGTTCTTGAACGTGGCGCCGACTACTCGGCGCCACGTTCTTGAACGTGGCGCCGAGTAGTCGGGGCGTGAATTTTCTCTCGGGATCCGTCCGTTTCAGGTGTGCGAGTATCGCCGTTTCCTTGCTGCCGCTGAGATTATCTCGGTCGGAAACTAACTCTAAGATTTTTTTCTCCACGATCCTGACGTCGTCCTTCATTGATTTTACCACGCCGTAACTTCCGACGCCGTACACTCGAAACGCTCCGAACTTGGAGGCGGTGTTCGGCAACGATTTGTACTTGGTTTGGCTTATTTGCGTATTTCGCACGTCGTTCAGTTCTTCCCGAGGAGATGCCATCTTCGTCGAAAGTCTATCGCTGGCAACGAGGAAAGGAGGAGTCAAAGAAAGCGAAGAAAACGGATGCGAGATACGAAGCGCTTGTATCCGAACGCAAATGGGTGATACTGGAACGGTTTTCTCCAGGAGACGATTGGAGCGCTCCGCTACCTACTTTGCACGTTCCTCCGGAGACGATGTCCTACGAAATGACGAGCAAACCTAGCTGGAAGGTTATATTGGGCGAGTACGCGTCGCACCCGCTGAGCGTCCTCGGTGTCACGCTGTTGCCGAGTCGCAACGACAACTCGAAGCTTGCGTTCGGCGAAGTGTTCGACTGGCCGGACGGCGTCGGGCGTTTCTCGGACGCCGGTATGTCGTACGACGAAACGAGAGACTCGGTGATCATCAAAGGGAAACTTATCAGCAGGGCGGATTCGTCTATATCGAGCATGATCGACGCCAGACTCAAGATCGTCGAACGTGGCGGTGCCGGCGACGACGACGTGGACGACTCCGGACGGACGACCTCCGAACGACCGAGGCGCCAACCTACGACGTACTCGCGCAAGGAGAGCAAGAAAGCTGAGGACCGTCCAAGACCGAATCCTGCTCGCTCCAGAAGTCCCGTCGTCGAGTTCAACCGACCTTTGCAGGTAATGCCACCTGTCGGGTTTTCGCACACTCCTCGAATGTTGCGCCTGTTCGTGTCTATGACCACAGATTCGGACGTAGCTCTCGTCGCCCTGTCCCTCGAACTGCTGGTGGCTGCGAAGGTGAAGAGCGCTTGCAAAATTCGTCGCCTGCTCTCCTTCCTGTGCGACGCCAGACCGAACGTCGATTCGGATCCCGAGTTGG